TTAGAAAAAATCAATCACAATTTTAAATTAATAAAGTTGAAGTAAGAAAATAAAAAATAAAGAGTGAACCGCAACGATTCAAATAACAAATAGGCTGCTCGTGAAAAAAGAGAAATTTCTTTTTTCGAAATGCAGAAATACAGCAGATCCTTACACTGGTAATCGATTAATTTCGAAGACAAGTATAGTTTACAAGAAGTTTTTTAGTTTACGGATTTTGTATTACTCAAATAAGACTAAAGAACAGGTGAGTTTAAGGGGAAAACAAGTTATTTTTTTCTTTTTTCACCAATTTTAAACCTAAAAATCAATTTAATCAAAAACTCATTTATCCAAAAGGCTTGATTTTGAATTTTTTGTAAGGTGCACCAGAGGCAAAAAAGGAGTACATTTTTATGTTCAACGAATTATACATGATGTGACATAGCTCGCAATTCTGATTCTGAATATGTGGTTTTTAATTATCTTGGTACACATTTTGGGTGAAAAATCAAAAACATACCAGCTGACCCCAAAAATTCAAAAAATTTCCTACTTATGAAAAAAATTAAAATTTTACCTGTTTTTCGACACTGGTTTTTTGAAACCAATTTATTTGGATTCAGGATGAAATTTTGAGTATATATAAGTATATTTTATTTTGATTTATGACAGTTCAATATATGGGCAAAATTCACTGAGATCCCCGAGGCCCACATCAACCATTCCATATCATAAACCTACCTCGTTCTTTGTTTTAATAGATATAATTCTCATTTCCAAATCGTTTGAATCGTCAACCGATACGGAAAAAGGTTGAGTATCCTTGCTTTCCAGGTCTTCTTAAATGCTGAGAAAATTATGATTTTCGGCAACAGTCGCAAAGCCTTGAAAATGCGCGCCTATTTCGAGATTTTGAGCATCAAAAGCTCATTGCGAAACAAAATGCGTATGATATTCAGATTCAGCATAAAAAAACTGAGTCGAATGACATAAGTTTTACCTCAAAATAGTTTTCGTGAAAATGATTCTCGTACCCCCCTGAGACATTTTTCATATTAATTTTTCAATGCTTTGCGACTGTTGCCGAAAATCCTCATTTTCTCAGCTTTGAAGAAGAAACGAAAAGCAAGGATGCTCAACCTTTTTCCGTATTGGTTGACGATTTAAACGACGTGGAAATAAGAATTATATCTATTAAAACAAAGAACAAGATAGGGTTACGATATGGAATGGCCGATATGGGCCTCGGCGATCTCAGTGAATTTTGCCCATCGATTGAACTGTCATAAAATAAAATAAAATATATTTAAATATACTCAAAATTTCATCCTGAATCCAAATAAATTGGTTTCAAAAAACGATATTGGCGAAAAACAGGTAAAATTTTGATTTTTTTTTCATAAGTAGGAAGTTTTTCGATTTTTTGGTGTCAGCTTGTATTTTTATGATTTTTCACCCAAAACGTGTTCCAAGATAATTAAAAACCCCATATTCGGAATCAGAATTACGAGCTCTATCACATCATGTATAATTCATTGAAAGTAAAAATGTGCTTTTTTTTTTGCCCCAGATGCACCTTACCTTAATTTTAAATGTTTTACAAATTAAGTCTGCTGGTAGAATTTGATTGTTAAAAGAAGATGTTTCGTACATTCAGAGGATGAAGTCTATCATAAAAATAACAGAAAAGTAATGTTTTTTTCAATTTTTTTGATTATTTTGATATTGCTGAAATTTTTGATTGCACTGATTTTGTTTATTGAAAAGCGTTTTTTATTTAAAATTGACAGAAAATCAAAAAACTCCGATTTCGGCTCTTATCCCCTTGGGTGAGTTTCACATTTCAGTCCCAAAAAAGCTACCCTAACAAGCTCTTTTTTTATACATTATTTTTATTTACATGCATGCTTTAATATCAAGTTCCTTTTCATTTTTTTAAGATAGTAATTGCAAAACTTTCGATCAATTGTAATTTATAAAAATTTTATACTAAAGTGCGTATCTTAAATTTACAAATCACATTTTTATCTGAGCTCGATTTGGGCATTTACTTCTACTGATCGTATGAGAAGCTGTAGAAATGTCAGAATATATGCACATAAATTTTATTCAATATAAGTAGAAAATTTTTAGTGAGAATAAAACTTCACTGAGAGAGGAACGAGTTATTTGATAGTGGGGACGGGTCAGAGAAGGAGCACACTCAGAGGCATGATACACTTGAAGGTCAACATTTTTTCTTCAAAACATGTTGTCAACACGTTTTTATCATTTTTCTGAAACGCATTTTACTATCTAAGACTCATCCTTCTTAAACAACGCTCTTAGCATATCAGAACGCGGTTTTTTTATTACAACAACGCGTTCTTGTCCATTTTTATTCATCCTTTTTCAATGGACACTCTTAAACTCCTGCTCAGGTCAACTCGCACAACCACACCCTTCCTGATTGATTTCCATTGATAAAATTCTTACCCACGCGAGTCTAATTATAAATTTTATATATAGAATAGAAAACATGTACTAGAGATTCTCTTTTGAAAATTCCAACTTTGAATCATATATTTGAATCGATGCTGCGCCCTTCAAAATTATTCTCTATTTGCATTCATTTTTCAGTATTATGATTTTCAACATAATACTTAAGAAATATCTGCATGAAAGCATTGATTTGTTTGTCTTGGAATATACCAATATACATAAGAAGTTTATTTTTAGTGATCATCTCTGAATCATTCGAACTTTTTATAACACTTTGAGTGCGTCAAATTTTCGTTATTGCGTCGTAAAAAAAATCGAAGCTAGAAGAAAAGAAATGAAAGAAACTTTTTTATTTTCTTCCAATCAAATAATCTGCCATGTAATTGGTCACTAAAGCTACTGCTTTATGTGTCTCCCTCTTTTTGCGCAATTCATTCAACAAGGTTAGAAAAAGAATAAAAATTGTTTTATGAGTAACCTATTTTCAGATAAGAAATCATTTCGTCCTATTTACGTCCAATAACGCACAATTGCTTGGAGGCAAGAACAAAATATATTGCGATAGATTCTAGTCATGACTAACAAACAGACCACTGATGTCACCAAAAAATACTTGGCACATGATGGTAATATTGAGATACCATTGTTGCGAGAGACAATTATTGATTGGCATGAACAACCCGGTAGTGATCAGCATCCAACATCTGATAAATACAGTATGTAGTGGATGATTTTTTGTTGTTCGCACTATACAAGAATATTTCTTAAATTCCATTAATTTGGTCAGTCATATATTGTATGTTGTTGATCTTCATCAAACTTTAATAGTATTAATCTTGAAAAATGAAAAAAAATCCGTTTCATATTATAATAGAATATAGAATTATATTTTTTTTTCAGATGTGAGTCTAAGTATCATGTTAGATAAATAAATGGACAAATGGTTTTATTTCTAAGGAATATATAGCATCTGAATTACGTAGGATTTTCGTAAAAAAATGTCACTTTGAATAGAATCACAGACGTGGTATTCATGAAAGGCTCAGACTACAAAGAAAACATTGATAAAAATTTCAACATTGTTGTATCCTGAGTACAGCTACAATATAACGCTGATTGTACGCACTAGTTCAACCTAGATTAACTGAGATGAAACAAAATTGAAACTTCAACACAACTTTCATGTGAGCCTTTTCAGTTTCGATATTCAAAGAAACTTTTCAACCGCATCAAAACGATCTATAGGAGCACTTAAACGAAAAACATTTGAATAATGAAATTGAAGCTATTCACAACAGAAGTAGGATTTCAATTTTAGTGAAGCAAATACAGCTTGTCGTTTGAAATCAAAGTATTTTAAGCTGTTTCTATACTAGGAAAAAATCGAAACTGTTCTTTCTTCTTTATGAGCTACTATCTGTAATGAAGGAATATTTAAATGCTTTCTTCTTCACTATAGTAATCATGATGCGTTGTGTTTTTCGCATAAAATCTTTTTTTTCCATTTCAGGTAGCTCACCTTCGATATCACAAACTTCTCTTAGTGAGTTAAAAAGTTGGAGCTTTCCATATCTATATCGAGCGTTGCACATAGCAATTGATCACGCAAGAAAATATACCCAAGACGGTCAATTGACACTGGCTATTGTTGCGTATCAAAATGCAAGGGCTTATTGTGTTGACTTAGAAAATCGAAATATGTTGTCGGATGAAAATGTACATCGATATATATATATATATTCTAATGATGATTCTTATTGTTCTTTTCGAATATCAAATATTTCTATTTATTTTTAGCGAGATGAACTCAATGCCCAAATTTCCATTTTGAAAGCCGAATGTGAAAGGCAACTTGTTTCGATGGCACATTCAACTTTGTTTGATCAAAGGTGAAAAAGAAATATTTCTGGTACTTGATATACTTTTTTGAAATTTCTTTCAGTTTTTATTCACCAGTGATTATTACTAATAAACAGTCTGATTCTGTCGAATCTCTTCAAACATTCGAACAGGAACAGCCGTCAACAGACAATGAACACATTGAAAGACAAAATCCATGTGAGTAGATAATTCGTTTCGAAACACAATTCGTATAGCTTATTTAAACACCGTTTAGTTCTTATTCGTCAATTGGTAAGGTTGATTATTACTAAAGCTAGCTGCGAGAGTTATTCAAACTTGGCTCACAATACACCTGACGAAAAAGTTGGACAGGACATGCTCGAGTAAGTTGACATGTTCTGTAATTAGTGATTGTCTACGAATCTTGATAAAAGATTTTTAAGACAGAAAAAATTATTATATAATACTATCTAATTCGTTGCAAATGGGATTGATCTTTGACGTCAAAAGTCAATACAATAACTTTCAACATTGTCTGTTGAGATCATTTTCTCATTTCTAGTGCTCAAAATCTAACGGCCATTAAATGCTATTCTTGTTTCTTTGAATTATCTTCGGACCAATTTAAAGAATCTTACAGTAATCAATGTCGACATATCAAACGTACCGTATGTGATACATGTGTGCTCAATAATATGAAATATGTTCTCGAAGATAAGAAAATTAGTCAAATACAATGCCCTGAACCTAATTGTGAAGCATTGCTTGCTTTCGATAAAATTTATCAACTTTGTCTTAAATACAATGATATGAAATTATTCGAAATGTATGATCGTCGATTAACTGATCAACGGTGTGAGAAAACGAAAGGATTCATTTCGTGTACTTATGCTGGATGTGATTCTGGTCAAATTCATGATCCAGGTACGACAGATCAACGTCGACTTGTTTGTATCAAATGTAAACGCACAACATGTTCATTTCACAAAGTCCCATGGCACCATGGTTTAACTTGTGATCAATATGATCAATCAAAATTATCAATAGTGGACAATCTAACAGAAACTTGGTTACAGTTATATGCAAAGCGGTGTCCACAATGTCAATCTTTGATTCAGAAAAAGGATGGATGTGATATGATGTCATGTGAGAAATGCAAACATAAATTTTGTTGGATATGTTTAGCGGATTATAAGCTCATCATGAGTGTTGGACTTCATCGACATCAAGAGACATGTAGTCATCATCCAAAACAAAAATCAATATCACAAACGAATAGATCGAAACCAGATCAAAGTACAATTTTATAAACATTGAATAAAGTTAATTATAGTTCGATAGGTTTTTTTTACACGAATGAAATATGATTTTGCCGAGTGCATACATTAGAGATCAGGCGATCCAGATTTGGACGCAAAATCATGTCAGGACTACTTACAGTTTATGTATTTCAGGGTATCGAGATCATTGTTAATTGCTAGAACTCATTTTGCGTCTGCTACATACAAATAAATGTTATGCGAAGTTGATTTCTTAAACACTTTTCAGGTAATTAAACTTCACTAAATCTAAAAGATGTCAAAAGGTTAGTATATATACATATTTCCACTTTTCAAACATCAAAGAATATTTGAATCAGTCTCAAAAAATTATACTCTAAAGTCTTTTCAAATGTTTCTTTATTATCAGTATCCATCGCTTTTTTTTGCAAGAGAAATAATGTATTATTTCCTGTGAAAACTTCCTTATCACTGCCTGAAGAAAAGAAAACCTTCGAGAAAGAAACTTTTCGTTTAAAATGTAGTCGGTGTTTTGAACAATAACTGGACATAATGCGTAACTGTGACCATGAGAAAAAGTAGATTGGTATTGAAAAAATGAGAAAAATGAAACTTGAGTTTCGTTTCGTTTTTGTACATTGCTTCAAAACACTTGTCATGCACATTCAACATAGTTCCAAGCAGAAAAATGATGAAATTCTGATTTTTTATCAATATACTGCTATTTGATCTTCACAAACACTTAAACTGTGTGCGTGGGTTTCAATAATCTCTTTGCATGTCAACACACTCGCAATCACCTACAGTCCACGATAACTCTAGATTTATGTTCCATCGATTTCTTCGACTGTTTGATTAATCTTTTTTTGTTAAAAAAAACGAATTGAATAAAAAGTTTTGTTATATGAAAAATCAATTTGATCTGTCGAGCATGCCTGTTACGGTCTGTATAACACGTTAGCGTTGTTCTATTTTTCTCTCAAAATATTTCAACACTCATTAACAAACGTTAGCGTGTGGGCTGTGTAAGTGTGAATCTTCTCTATACCCACATCCTCATTCATGAATATTTAGCAACTTACACCTGATTTTTTTTTCATATATGTAACTCCTATTTTTATCGTTTTTTGAACCTAGAAAGCAAGGTATATTTCATTTTCGTTATGCATAGTTTTCTAATTGCCTTCATCAAAATCACAAGAAAATTGGTGATCTCATTGATATGATGTATTGAACAATGACTGAATCGAAATGAATTCAGGTAGGGTACAGAACTAAGAAGAACAGAATATTTTTTTGTGTGTCACATATGCTAACATCAGAAGATATAATGAACAATTAAAGGGAAACGACAATTTACTGATTCCATAACATATGTTCGAATGATTTCTTTTTCAAATAATCAGATTGATTAGAATAGACGAGAGTAGCAATCGAGAAACAAATTTGAATTGATCTGTCTCACACCCGAACGTGTGGATATGGACATAGGCGACGAGAAGGTTAGAATTCACATTTACATCCTCGAATTTTTATTTCATGGTATTTTTCCTCAATGGTCTTTATGATTCAAATACCTAGTTAAAACGAACTAGACGGTACATAAGAGGAGAAAGATGAGCAATTGAAGTGAATCGAAAACACAAAAAGCACAAATAATACACAAGAATAATCTAATGAAAAAAGAATAAATTTATCCTTGAATCGAAACGTTCGTCAGCCTTATCGTAGTCCCTGACTAGGTCAAATGAGAAGCATATCGACATATTATTTTAACATAAAACGGATACTTTATTTTTGTTTACTACGTACCTAAGTCAACATGAAAATTATTTAAGATTTTCATAAAAAAATGAAAAATTTTCGCTTTTTCTAAGTGCTGAAAACAAGCATTTTGTGAAATTTTCAAATAAAACCTATAAGCTAATTACAATGAAATAACTTTTGCATCTAAGAACACTCGGTTTTATAAAAGAAGCCGATGATCCTGTGTGCTCTGAATGCCTTTTCATAGATCTTGACTGATATTCCTCATCTAATCAATTCTTATTATAGAGTAGCGTATTTACCATCTCAATACAGCAGATAATTACTAAATTATTTGTTTTTGAAGTGTTAGTCATCAATATCAAGACGAGTGAACTGACATATGAATAAAGAACAATGAGAAATTCTAAGCCAACGATTACATGACAGATCAAAAGAATATTGACAAACACGAACTAGGATCTTTATTCTATTGTTTTGTAACAATTTTTATTTGTCATTTTTACTTTAACAAAAAAAGATGTTAAGAACATTATCCGTGTCATGACTGTTGTTCTTCGTTGAAAATTGTGCTTCGAAGAATAAAAAGTCATGTTTCCATAAAAATAACGTGCTCTCACGAGTGCAGTCCAAGCAGCAGAAAGTTCCAAAGTCGCATCTGCCCAATCCAACATCTCTTTCAATGATATTCTACTAACATTTTGCCGTAGATCTGCCATCGGTTGATCAAATCTTTTCCGTAGTAATTTCTTATGACTATCAGATAGATTATTTATCGCACTAATCCACCGTCTTGACCAGCTATACGACGAGTTTTGACTATGATCGACTTGAAGCCAATCAGGATAAGTACTCATGTAATTATGACAATCAAAAGAGATTAAATCAATAGATTCTTGAGGATCATATTCAAGATGGAAGAGATGTACGTCATCATGATGAACATCATACACAAATTTCCGTGGGTACTGCTTGACAATAACATGGGAATTACCAGGATTGTCGAGATGAAACGTGTATCGTTGAGTTTCTTATTCGATGGGTAGACGAAGAAGAGATGTTCCTTCGTATCGTGACAAGATCAAGTTAAGTTGATCTTGCCGTGCAGTGAGTAGGCGATTAGTGCTTTCATGAGCAGTCTCCTGTGATGATAACAATATATCCATAATGGTCGGCAAGATATCCATATTTGTATATTGTCCATCTAGTTGCTTTGCTTCAAGATATGGATTGTGTAGCATTAGTGGAACCAAAAATGCACCTTCGTACAAAACTCTCCATGTAGCAAGATATGTTTGACCCCAATCACGAAATGCATATCCATGATCGCTAGCTATGACGATCAATGTCTCATTGTACAATCCTCGCAATTTTAAACCATCAATGATAGTTTTCAAAGCATCATCAACCACTTGTATTGTGTTGAGATATTTGTTTGCGCATGTATATTCGATATAATTGTGATAGATTGATTCAGTGCGCGGCATAACAAATGGTTTATGTGTTCCAGTCAAGAGCAAACTGGTCATTAGCTTACGTTCTTTGTCATCACCTAAAGTATTATCAATCCAATTCCATAGTAGAGGTAAGATCGTCGAATCTGATGGTCCAAACATGCCGACATCAGGTACTGATCTAGTTCGATTTACAACATCAAAACCACTGTCCTTGTTATCAAATCCCATTCGATTGATTAATTCCCGTTGACGATCGAAATCATCACGAGCAGCAGGGAAAAAGGTTGAACGAAAGGATGATTGGTTTTTTTATGTACGAAAAGTTTTCTGAAGTAGATCTGGTAGACAGATCTCGTAAAATTTGTTCTTCGACTTTGCCTCTTCCAAGAAATCGACCTTAAGAGAGGATAGATACCGCATAGTGTACCGACAAAACTTTTCAATGTATACGATGCGACAGTCGTAGCAGTGGTACGAACAGAATTCTTCCATAGGGAATTTAAAAAAGGAGTCACATCATCCACCGTTGTATTAGCATGAAATCTAATTCTTATAGTTTCAGCAAAGTTAGGACTCAATGGAACAACGTCAGCACGAATAGATTCCAAAATAATAAGGAAGATATGTTTAATTGGCTTCGTCAGAACCGTAGATGGTTGAGATATTTGAATATCAGGAGCACGAATTAGTTGTTCTATGGACTTCATTTCATTTTTCTCCCAGTACACTTGTAGTATGGTTTCGTTTTTTGTATAATATTGAAACGTCGCTGGAAAAAAGTTCAATACAACGTTTAATGAAGGTTCTTTCCACGAATGAACGGGAGGGCAGAAGACAGTGATGGCTGAGTACATTAGAAAAAGTCAGAAAATAATACTAATAATACGATTACGGCCGTGCAATGTATGCACATAATGGTTATGTATTGCGTTTCGAACATACGAATAACCTATACTCCACAGTATTATACCTAGAAAAAGTTGCGAGAATACAATAAAGATAAATTTGAATATTTCAGACCAGTATAGAATAGCAGCCGATGCCACCTTCAGTTGGAAGACAAATCGCCATTCGATAATGTGACCTATCATTATTGTATAGAACAATAAAATTGTCTAATGATAATGTGAAAAAAGAATTTACTTGTTCTTATCAGTAGTAGAATATTGGACGAGAGTATTAACAGAATGAACAATGCAAAAGTCAAGCTAAATACAGTATAGTATAGATTGGAATGGGATCATTTCCATGGAACGTAAATCAGAAATATGAAGAGAATAAGAAAAATGACTATATCGGGAATCAAGGCTAACCATATCCATAGTAATGAAGCTGGTGACCAAATCATGTGACCACCATAGATATGGGAAACGCGAATTTCGCCGTACTGACTTTCGCACTTGACTTTCAGCGATTGCTAAAAGTTGTGTTTTTGTAAGATTTTCGGTTGTAAACAGGAGGGATCTTTGGCAATAGCCAATAGTGCAGTTTTGGCAATTATCAGACATCTTATCAAAAAATATTAGGCAACTAATTGATCATAGTAAAGANGTTGTGTGACAGATTGACCAGGATGATTAAAATCTTCATTATTTAAATCATCAATATCACCAAATTTAACAATATGTTCTTCAAAATTATCACCCATCGTCATCATAAATGAAACAGGTATAAGTACAATAGTATTTTTCTCAGCTTCCTGTAGGTTGTTGAATTTCAAATAGTTAACAAATGCATTAATAAAAGTCGATTTTCCAACACCTGATTCTCCAAGAAGTAAAACATTCATAATTTCCTCACTTTTTGGCTGTACTAGTGGTAATGATGACATCGGTTGTGGAGTACTTTCATAATTCTTTGCTTCACCTGTAGAGAAAACCTTCATATCATCAAGTTTGTATGAACAATAGGAGAAGTCAACATAGATCAGTTGTAACTGAGGATCTTCTTCACGCTGTTTTAGCAACTGATCACGAAGAGAGTGCCAACGTGATGAATTGTTTTTGTATAAATTATCATTGGAGCAAATGACACATGTTCGATTATCAGAAGTTGAAAGCTTGCCATTAAGTGTTTGCTGATCGTCGCCACTTTTTATATTTCGATCGAGCGCATTTTGATATTTAAATCCTTTTTGTACCAAATCTTTGATGAGCTGCTCCTTTTGATCCCATGCATTCAGATAATCATTGCAATCATTTATCATCTTTGCCAGTGTTTTGTCTTGATCGTCCTTTAACGCATCAGGAATATAATTCTGGTCAATGTCACCGCGACGGGCACGAATTACTAAATCTTGAAGTCGAACAATTTGATTTGTGTATGCCGCTTGCAATTCATTCCAGCTTGTTTGGATCTTATTAAATTCGATGTTGAGGTGTTGTTGTAGATTTGGATAATCTTGATTCAGTGGTTTGCTTAGTTTTTTAAAGTCCATGGATAATTGAACGAAATAAGATTCGATTATAAAAACGTTGTTTTGTTGCAACTCATTGAATAAAACTGGATTTCCATCATTCGCAGCATAAAAATAGTCGATTGGATAAAGATTATAATTGTATGGTTTGTGAAGGTTGCTGTCACACTTCACTGATGGGATAAGGCGGTGAAACTCAAGTATCGAATCGATTTTATTGAGTTGAGGGATATTGGAAAAGACCTCTGTGTGAAGAATTTTGTTGAGGAATCCCTCGTCTTCCTCGAAGATCGGCACCTTATTCTGATCACTCTCCAAAGAAATACATATTTTTTGAAGAACATAATCGATTGCCTCAATGTGTTCATCATTAGGTGGCAGTTGCAAAATAACGACTGCATCGATTCCCCAATTAACGAATACAATCACATGAGTAGCAGAATTATTTGGTCTTCGTGATTTAACTTGATTCCATGACTTGAATATGTCGTCTGCTACATACTCTGTCCGACTATAGTAGCAGTAAACCATAAAACGAGTATATTTATCAATCGCATGAGAATGGTCAAACAATGCACTTATTCCATTTGTTGGAGTCATTTGTAAAGCGATACTCAACCGTAGTCCATGATGCATATTACACCATTTTAGAAGATTGTCAGGTTCATCTGGATTGTACCGTTTCAAGAAGCATTCTGGGGACCGAACACCATTTATCCATTGTGTATTGAAATTTATATTTGAATTGGAAAGTACTTGATCGATATAGGCATCATACAACCAACCGGTGTGTCCGTTTGGGTCAATGGCTCGGCGTGGTGAAAAAGGATTTGATCTTCTTGCCGCTATTGGATTACAGTTTGGGTCACATGTAGGTAAAGGGTTTCCCTGTTCAGCCATTATGAAAGTGGACAAATTTTTCTCTAGAAGTAAGATACGAAATGAAAACATAGTTAATAATAATATATATATATAAAAAACGGATTGTAAAATTTTCATTTCTCACGCACATAGGTTGAATGAAAAGTATGTACCCCAGGTGGCATGTAGAAGAGTTACCAAAACGACAGTCTTTCAATATATTAGTGCAAACTATATCGATAAGACTTTCTCTGAAAACTCGCGATACCCATGTATGATATACGAAATCTTCGTAGATTTTTTTTAATGCATTTCACCTATTGACTTTCACCTGTTTCTTTTTGTGTGACGGTATGCTGTGGTAGGAGCTCTGTTTGAAAGAAATGGCGACGTTCTTTTTCAAAAGCATAAACAACTTAAAGACGTATAGAAAAGAAAAGAAATCGGCCATATTCTGATGATGATTGTGGCGTCATTCTTGTTATTGTTGGAGAAAAGGAATGAAAAAGAATGCAGATTTGTCGTCAACGCAAATGCAAAGGATAAGAAAGAGGGCCGAGATATATTTAAAATTTACTCATTTTAGATTTGTATCATAAAATCTGAAATAATAACGTTATTTTTCTTACGTTTCATACTGTTGGTGCGGCTGTGGGTGTGGCAATAAGGGAACATCCACATCCACACCCTCTATCAATGGTCTGATATAAAATTGAATATTTTTCTATAACAGAGTTATCCTAAGTCAAGACTAAATTATGTAATTTCTGTCAAAAATAATTGAATGAACCTAATTTTCTTTTATTTTCTTTTATTTATCATATTATAATAAGGAAATAAATCATTGTACAATCTCGGTTTCAATCACTATGAACGTTTGTCAGTGTTCACCACATTCTTTTAGTTTTATTTCAACGTTAGGTGATTTGTCTTTATTTATTGAAATATCAATTATTTTAAATGCTGAATAAAGTAAAATTAAAACTTCTTCTTCATATTGAAATAATGATATGTCTTGAATATCTAATGCAGTTCTTAGAGGGTGTGGGTGTGGGTGTGGGTGTGGGTGGGTGTGGCCTGTGGGTGTGGCTGGGGGTGTGGGTGTGGGGGTGGGTGGGCGTGGGGTGTGGGGGGGGCTGGGGGTGGGGCCGTGGGGGGGGGTGGCGAGCGGAGGCNTAAATCTCTAAAGAAAAACTCGTACGAGTACTCATCAGAGTACGCGAAAAGTATACATACACGTTAAACTCCTCGAGTACTCGTACGAGTAATATGAGTACTCATGCTGGAAAGTCGTACTCGCTTGATGAGTCTTTTCACTAGGGTAGGGTAACGACACACATGCACAATGGAATCGGAGAAAAGGATACTTATTGCTCAGTTCAGATGGCTGTATGTGTGTAGATCAGTATGACGGAGTGTGGGATATGTGGGTATGAATCAGCATTCACGCTGACACCCACACTCATGAATTCATTTGATGTTAGTATCAGTCGGATTTGTTGAAGAGCATTGCAACGACGAAGGTTACTTGTTTGTAATTTAAAAGAAAATAAAAGTCACCTTACACTTATTACTACGCCCCATAGATAATTTGTACAAGTGAAAGCTCTAAGAAGTAGTAGAATAGATATGACCAAAGCTCAAAAAGGTGTAAAAATCTTAATGATTTCAACACGAACGAATACTTCAAATTTGGTCTTTGCAACGTATTGGTATCTACGTAAGAAATTGTAATTACAATAGTATAATGTGTCAAATAATCAATCAGAATGAATGTATTTAATTGTAGACAGAATTAATTAGATCAAATTATACAATTAGTACAAAGAATTAAAGTAAGAAGTAATTAGTAATATTCTTTGGCTTTTTTATGCTTTCGATATAATGATTTGATACATTTAAAGTTCGATACCATTATCGAATGTATGAAGATAAAACAAATAATAAAACTAATGAAATACATGAACAAAACTAAACATATAATCAAACCATTCAAAATAATAAATATTTTTATATTATAGTATGTTTAAATCAGAGATGCAGAATCTACCCGTGTGCGCAAGCGCGCGCTGGGGGAAATTTTTTTAGTCTGGGGAAATTTTCCCTTTTTACAGCAGATTCTGCACCTCTGGTTTAAATATTCTGGAACACCAATAATCTTCAGATTGAGACATTGTACATTCGTAAGGATTAGTTGAGTATTGAAAACGAACATTTTAAATCAAGTTTTTTTTAACGTAAGTCTTCATTGCAATGCGATTAAATTTTTTTGTTTAAGAACATAATATGAAAAACAATGTGTATTGAAAGTCATTTTCAGCATAAAAAAATACTAAGCAATATTCAATGAATTCTTTTGTAACGAGATTGAGTTAAAAAAAATTGTAAATTATTTTTATATTGGATCACTGATGTAAGAAATTGTTATGCAAACATATGAAAATTCATAGACTGTTATAAAATTTGAGAATTTCGTTTTTTAACATCGAAAGTTTATTTTTGTAAGAAGATTTGTTTAGTAAACACTCTTGGTTGCTTATGATTTGAATGTACATGATATTCACATTTTGATATTTGGATGAAATAGCATTTAGCACAGAGACAATTTGCTTTCACTACTGCAATGATATCATACTTTTAGCAGTACTGGACATTTGGATCAACTGTTTATAAAATTTGAAAGAATCTCAAGGATAATGTCAATTTTTTTTGTCTCTATATACGAGCTAGAAAAAAAGATCCAGAATGAGAGAAATGATAAACTTCTCTGTTCTATATACATTCAAACAACTGCTGTGAATATGATCGTAAAAGGTCATATATAGATTTCCTATTCATCAACTTGGTGGTGCACATGCTGTCTCACATACTTATGTCAATTATATATTTGTGAAAGAAAGAAAATGACTTAAATAAAAACACCTAGATAAACAGCCACAATCAAAGGAAAGAAAAGAGCAAATGATAAGCAAGAGGACACAATGCAAATCTTTAAAGCGTATGGTGTAAATATTATTGTCATAGAAGGCCCAAGTTATTACCATTGAAGAAAGACAAAAAGCGAATAAGTAAATATTGGAAATTTCTAATTCATACATCACTTTATCAAGCATGAAGATTCACTTCTTACTTCTCTTCATTATTATTAACTTTCTTTATCAAACTCATTCAAGTTCAATTCAACTTGACGTATTTAAACAAATCCAAGATCTATCGCAGATAAATCTTACGAACTTGCCAGACAACTCATTATTTACAACATGGAGACCAAGTTATCATTTTTCATCTCCTAACTCATGGATGAATGATCCATGTGGACCGCTTTATGATCCAGCGACACAAAATTATCATTTATATTATCAAGTTCAACCTGCGTATGTACAATGGGGAAACATTTCTTGGGGTCATGCGAAATCAAAAGATATGATCTTTTGGGAAGATGTGACATCATGGCAAGATTATGATTACATTACATTTGCACCAGGTGTTGGTAATAATCACAGTGTACTTGGTGTTTTTACTGGTTCAACTTTACCTATTCCAGTTACCAGTAACATAAACAGTACAATAACGGCTATTTATACAAGTGTGAAATATCTACCAATAAGTTGGAATGCTCCATATATCAAGGGAAGTGAAAGTCAATCATTGGCAATTTCATATGATGGTGGTGTAACGTACCAACAATATGTCAATAATCCAATTCTTGCCTCGCCACCTGAAGGTATGAATATTACTGGATGGAGAGATCCTAAATTTGAACGATGGCCCGAGATGGATATTGTATTATATGGATCTGATCAAGGACACTATTACATGACTATTTCATCAGGCATTCGTGATGTCGGTCCACGACTTTTGCTTTATCAAGCATCTATTAATGATTTGACTAACTGGACATATTTGGGTCCTCTCATTTCCGTACCTGGTAATTATACCCTCAATAAAATCTGGTCAGGTTCTCTCGGTTATAATTTTGAGGTCTCTAATGCTTTTTCTCTTCTTGAAAAGGCTACCGATGGTGGAGATAATCAGACCGTTCATGTTTTTGCGTCACTCGGAACCGAAGGAGGTAATACAACTTTGCATTCATCTCCTCAGTGGTCTGTATGGATTAAAGGAAATCTTGCTAAGACAAGTAATGGTAGTGGTATTATGAA